AGTATACTAGTAGTATACTAGTAGTATACTAGTAGTATACTAGTAGTAGTAGTAGTAGTAGTAGTAGTAGTAGGAGTAGTAGTAGTAGGAGTAGTAGTAGTGGTAGTGGTAGTTCTTGTACTAGCCATAGTCACAATAGTTACACCCAGTCACCCGGCGGGCACCGGATTGAACCCAGTTACCGCGATCCGAAGACCGCGTGCTCTACCGCCGGGCATGCCAGGCGCCCACACTTCTTGTTCAGGTGTGGGTTTCAGGGTGTGATGAGTTCACAACATATTCATATGTAGCGCCCATTGAAGTCGTTGTGTTCATCCTCTTTAATTAGGGTCCTAATCCATGCCATCAAATATCAGTAACACCGATAGGCACGGTTTGTGTGCATCGGTCCATTTGCCCATTGCCATTGATACTAGGGTTGTGTCCTGTTCTTTCAACCTGTCAATCAATGAACCGCCGTTCTCATCATCTAGCAAAGGCATAGGATTACATCTGGCATTTTATGTATGATGTTTGTTGTTCCTTTCTCTTGCTTCTTTGTTGCGTTGGCGTCACCCTCAATTGCACTTCCCCAAAGGCAGTGATGCCACCTAGGACCTACAGTACATTGTATTAAAATTCCAAATATGATGTCCTCCCAGGCTTTGCTGCAAAAAGGAAAAATCAGCACCTCTGTCCCCACACACACCCTCACTAAACGAAATGACACAGCCCTTTCGTTCTTCACGGGCGAGGGATCAAAAAAAAAAAAGAATCAAACAACAAATATATTTCAGGGGATCAAGAAAAAATGAATCAAAAAAGACATTAAAAAAACGTAAGCGGACCCAAACGTGCAGAGGGAAGAGTAATATTCCATTAACGGGCGGGGGATCAACAAAAAAACGTAAATGCATCAAAAAATAAACATATTTCAGTGTGATCAAGAAAAAACAAAAATAAACGGATCCAAACGTGCAGAGGGAAGAACAATAATCCATTCGAAGCAGTGATCAAAAGAATGAAAGAAAAACACACACAGTAAAATAACATGAAATGAACATGAACATGAAAGAAAGAAGGAAGACAGGATGAATGAGTCAATGAACAAATGAAATGAATGAAATGAAAACGCTCAACAATTAAAAGCGGGAGGGGGTGCGGGGAGGGCGCAGCGCCTCCCCCGCAATGTAACTTGGCACGACCAAAAAACAAATATCATGGAGTTTCCCCAATGAATCTTCCTTTGATAACTGGAATGGTCTCTGTGCTGGGCATCTGGGCAAAGCTTTGCAACATCGCATTTCAATTTCACAGCCTTCCTTCCTTCCTTCATTCCTTCCTTCCTTCCTTCCTTCAATCCCGCTAGCCCTTCCTTCCTTCCTTCCTTCCTTGCTTGCTTGCTTGCTTGCTTGCTTCCTTCGTTTCTACCTACCTGCCTACCTACCTTCCTTCCTTGCTTCCTCTTCCTTTCTTGCCTCGTTCCTTCCTTCCTTCCTTTGCTCGTTTCTTTCTATGTTTTTTTGATGCATTTTTAGTTCTTGTTTGATGCATTGTTGTTTATTTCTTGATGCATTTTTTTTTGTTATTTTGATGCGTCTCCCCGTTCTTCATGTTTCTCTTTGCAATCCCATCATCCCTTGCATGTCGTATATGTGTCTACCCCCGTTCTTGCAAATTCATCAAAAAAGTTCTCACAAACATTGTTCATGCTCGGTGAAAACGAACAAATCAAGAAATCCGATTCTCGACCCCAAGTGGTGTCAAACTCGAAGCAGCTGCTCAATCCTTTTCAGCTCCAAAAAGCCATCCTTCTAAATTCTAAATACAATTTTCGGTTTGCACGGATGGCGAGAGTCTTGGGTTCTCGGCCCACTGCTTTGCGCAAGCTCCTGCTTCGCACAGGTTTTGGACTGTCCGAGAAGTCGAAAACGGATTTTACTTCAGCCCATTCACATCATCAAGTCCTTGACTGATGAATCCCAACTGTTACTAGGCAAGGCTGTTGCAGAAAGCGCTGGTGTGCCTTTATATTAAGCCATTCGAGTTTGACCAGAACTATAGTTGTTGGATGTTGTTGGCTTCAACCATCCTCATAACCCAACCCTTCCACGCGTCGAGGCCTCTCTCCAGGGTTTGAAAATGTCCGCCGGCATCTGGGCTTTGCAGCAAGACCTCTCTAGGTGCCACACGAGGTCTGGGAGGCCTCTTTACTTAGCTCATTGGGCAAATAGCCCATTGCTGCATGTCATGTGAACATCTGGTCTTCCGTTGCTGGCGCCCTCCAACCCAAAAATGGGCACCAGGAAAACTCACTGAAGGAAGGATCTGGGAGTCCCTTGTCTTTTTGAACACAGTATCTGTAGATTGCATGTTGTTGTGTGCTCTAGATCCAGGTCGTGCACACGGGGCCTGTGCATTCCATAGCCATTCTCATTGTCCCGTACCGTGAACCATCTAGTCGGTCAGTCTGCAATTCGCACACGCGCGTCTTTGCTTGGTGCTTCGTCAGCTGAGAAAGCTGCTCGGTTCCCATCTCCAGCCACGTGGCATCCACTGTCATGAAGGAGCCCACGTCGTAGTGGTAAGGACTGAGATTCATGGGCAGAGTTCGGACCAGAAAGGGGGGGTGTCTAAGTGGCAAAATGGGCACCTCATGCTCAACGACGCTTGAATCGAATGTCAGGTGCGGTGTGCGGACGTTTCTTTTTTGGTTTCTGCTGATTTCCACCAACAAAACACACCGCTTTGGGAAAATAAACCATAATGTAACAGCATGTCTATTGAAAAGGTGATTTTTTTGTGCCGTTTCGACGATCCAGGTATGTTTGCAACCGTTAACTTGTTGGAACCATGAACTTGCTAGCTCTACTTGCATCGCTTATCCACCCGCGATTCGTCTTTGTCGATTCCATGCTAAGGACTATACCAATCGTCATCCATCGTCAGAACGTCAACGATTCCCACACCGTTGTTTGTGGGGTTCTTCTATGTATGTTCTTCCAACATTCGCCAGCAGCACCATGTACAACGTTGCCAACAACGGGGGCCGTTGCCGCGAACTACATGCATCCGCCACCTCTCGCCGAACTCAGCCCACCCGTAGCCAGGCCCCGCCCAGACCTCAGTTCACCCAGGCGGCTCTCTCAGACCTCCTCCCGGCGTCATCTCGTGGAACTCCGCCACGCGCACCGCGCACTCCTTCTCCGCGCGCGGCCAGGGGCGCTTGGCACGGCGGCTCCGCGCCGTCCTACGCTGGCCTAGCGGTGGTGGAGCTTCGGTGGTGGAGTGACCCAAGTGGTTCGTGGTGTAAATCATGAAATCATGAGATGAGGACACCTTGGCCAGCTGCTCAGCCCTGCTTATTGGGCTGTCTTCTTGGTGTTGATCCAAGGAGATTTATCACTTATATAGTGGCGCGGCATTGTGCGGACAATTAGCATTCTACAGCGACAAAAAGCAACCATAATCCCTTTCGCATGTTTGCCGGTGGGCCTATTTATGCTTCATGTAGACATGATTAGACATGAATATAAGATAATATAAGCATGAACAAAGGATTTAGGATCCGATGATCTATCTTCTGAATCAGTCAGAAACCCTATTGAAACTTGGAGAATCGCCCCTGGCGATCCATGGGTCACAAAACAACTCCTTGGATTCCTTGCAAGGGTTGACAATCCAACGTTTGACCCCACAGCTCGAGCAGTGCTGGAGATGGAGCGCCTCGTGGAGCAGCGCTGACCCAGCCTCCCACGAAAGCTCGACGTGTCCGAAGTCAGACAAACGTGTCCAGACTGTCTGCCTTTTTCTTTTCCATACCCATCTCCCATCTCAGCGTTTTTACTGGCGACGCTATCATGTCTTGTCGTGTTATCCAAACTCTTCCAATCATCAGCGGGATGTATCTGATTCATGTATCATACCTTCTCCGCTCGTTGACTGGCCACCCAACATCTCTTTGGTCGGTCCCTTAGACCACCTTCTCCGATTCCCCTTGGAATCCCAAGCGAAAAACATGGAAAAACTGCCTTGCTTGGCCTCAACGCCCAGAATCCAATGTCGGACCAACAAATGTCAGCTCTGCCTATCGAAAGGAGCTCTAGGCACTCTACAGGTCGCAGCTCTTTGGAGCCAACGATTGGTGAGTCTACAAATCAAACATCTATGGAAGCACGTTTGTGGGCAGGAGGTTCTGGCACTGCCTGCTTGTTTACTTCACCTTGCTTCCCATTGATTTGACAGGTGTGATGGTGACTTGCTGGCCCCCCCAAAAAAAGAAACTGCATATATGAGTCATTCAAAAGGAGTCCAACCCTCCATTGACTGGGCGCTGTTGACCATCTAAATTTAAAGGGATGCAAAGCCAAGAAGCCAGAATCTTGCCAGTCTGCGCTATGGGCCCCCCCCCAAAAGGTAATCTGCCAGGAAAAATTCCACTCAGTGAGCCAACACTCATTCCCAAGCAGGTGGGCCTTTTTCTTCAGACTCGCCCTGCGTCAACAGGCCCAGCCATTCTCCTTGTGCTGCATGGTGCCTGCCTTCCCTTTCCGTAAAAAGATGGCAACAACATGCAACAACCAACAATAGATTTTGGATCACGATGGGTGTTGGTTCAATGCTACTTACCCAATTGCCCTGCGGCAAGTAGCTCATGATGGCTTGATCATTCTTCGCCATCCCACCTCTTTCTCAACAGTGGGATAACCAGCTTCGCTGGCCAATTCCGATGTGGAATCCAAGCTCATCTGCGGAGCTCATCTGCCATGGACCTGCACATCATTGTGGCACGGTGGCACATGAACTAAAGGAGGGAGTGCTGAGGAAACCTTGAACGAGCATGAACGAGCTACAAAGGAAAACCTCCTTGCAGTTCTCAACCCCTCGGGAATCCCAATGCTTAAATTAATTTAATAGCTTCTTGTTACTACTAGTAAGGAACTTGTTACTACTAGCGTGGCACTTGTTACTAGTAGTTCAGAAGTCGATTTAATGAATCAACATGAACTAGCCAGCCATTCCTACCATTCACTCACGCATCTCTCTCCAACCTTGGCTGATTGGCCTATATTGGCCTTGGATGAACAAAATCCGGTATACTGAAAGGCCGTGCAACTGTGCATGGCTACGAGAACGTCACAAACCTGCGAACGTCACGACGCGTTTCGCATAGTTTTCGAACGTCGCACGTCACGAGGCCCGGCCAGTTGGCCATGGCCGTCTTCTGACCGAAGAAATCCACCGATTTCGGCGGATTCCGACTCTGGACTGCCACGTGGGTTTGTCTCTGATTAGTGGACCTTCAAAACATGGCGGATCGAAAGGATTCTCATATATTAGGGATCCTAAGGATGTCGTTGTTCATGGAGAGGCACACCCACACGGGAATCCACTGGTCTGCTTCACCAGCCTCGCGGCTGGTGCTGGTATGTGGTGCTCACGTCAGTCTCCAGCCCGGCTCACGGGGAAACAGCGTTCCTTCATGGGTAATCCCAAGCGCAAAGTCTGATCGATCCAGCCCACGGAGACCACAGGGATGTGGTGTTGGATCGCGTAGTCGTACTTCCTCGGAACGCAAGGCATTTGTCTGTGCTCGTTCGGCTCGGGACACTTGGTTGAGGCAATACTTTCTGAGCTTGAGTGCTCTTCCTGGATCTTCCTGGAGCACCGGAGATGGTGTGTTGTTTTTCAAGTATGGAGCGGGCTCAATGTCAATACCAGATTGGGGACCTTGAAAGCTCAGGAGAATGCAGCAGAAAAGGAATTCATCCAATGGACGACGCGCACAAGACAAGGAAATTACGGCTGCACCAAAACTTAAATTACTCCCATTTCGCTTTCTTGGGCAAAACTACCCCAACCTGCCCTCCACTGAAGGCTCCCGACTGGCAGACTTTTAGGGAAAACCATTTCCCTCTGCAACCTACTGGCTTGTTGGGGGTCCATGCTGTCCGCAGGGGAGTATACGCCTCAGTCGCTGTCCAAGATACTCTCCTTGAGCGGTTCCAGCAATCAGATGCGTGTGGCTCCGCGTCAGCTCCTCTGTGCACTCTGCCCCCAACAACTGCGCAGTCAGCGTCACCGCCTCGCGGGAGGGAAGGCCTGAAGGCGCAGTCGTACGGCTCGGTCGTCCACGGTACGACGGCCGGACCACCTGTCTTCCAAACAGTTCCTTCGCAAAGAGTCGGCCTTGAAAAGGAGGTATCATAGATATGATGTGCTCAACAGTTCTGGCATGTTCTGGCTAGAATTGAGTGCCTGCTTGTTGGTTGACCTTGCGATCGGGCACCAGAATGGGAACATTCGAATGACCCGTTGAACGGTGAACTCTGTCCATGAGACCACGAAGTGTGGTTTACTGGGTGTATTTCCGAACCTTTCTCATGGAAGTGGAGTTCACCGGCTGTTTGTAAGAGGAAAGTGGTCATCCAAGGGGCCACGCCATCCACTTCCATGATTATTTCTGGGATTTTCTGGGAGTGCATGTTTGTATACATAAAAAAGAAAAATATCTTATATATTATATATACCAGTATATATACCCATCATGTCAGACCCCATCTTTTGTCACCAGGCCACGCGAGGTGCTCAGCAAAAGACCTTCCAAGAGTCGTGGGGCGTAGCATCCAAACTCTGCGGGGCTGTCGTCCTTGTGGCCTGGTTGTGCGGCACTGGGCTGGTGCTCCAGGTCACCCATCATTCCTGGAAGATGGTTGGCCTAACGTAGAGGTGTTTGGAGGGCAAATCACACCCTGGCGGTCCCAGGCATTCTCACTGACTCATGTAGTCGGGTGAATCAAATCCATCCAAAACCCGCATCGAACTTAGAGCTATCTTCCGTCGGAAAAGCCTTCTTGGATGCTGCTCAGGGAAAGCGACTCCTTTCCAAACCAGCCTTCCAACTATACTTCAATTTCTCAAAGGCACACTGCTCTTCTGCCACCTCGGCTCATAGCCAACTCCTATATTAATAAAGGTTCTAAGATGTTCTAAGGACTGTTCTAAGGTGGAGCAGGAAGGCCCCAACCCACCAAGCAGTCTGTCTAAACCATTGAATTCTTGTGCAGTCATCCATTCGGTTGCCTGGCCGAATGGCGATGCCTCCCAAAACATCCACCGCAAGGGTGGTCCCACTGGACCCCATGGCCCCGCCCCACCTGAGATGCACGAGCGGAAGGAGCTGAACGGTGCTCCGTTCGAGGCGCACAACGGCCGGTGGCGTGGGAGCAAACGCCCAGCCACGCAGGAGGCACGTAGCCAGGCCACCCGGAAGGATTTCTGTTGAGTCCGGGAAGCCACAAAACCTGCAGAGTCTTCAATGGTGTCAAGCCATTGAAGAACATGTGAACAATACGCTAGACATCTGTAGAAATCATGGAGGATCCAGAAGGATCTCCTCTGGTTAGGATTTCACGAGGACATCAGTCTTTTGGAGCGGAGGCATTACTAGTTGGAGCTGCCAAAGAAAGAAGCTCTTGGAGGGATCAGGTGGGATTCTTGGTGGGATCACTAAATCAAGGGGCCAGGACAACTACCACCGCGCGGCCCGATAAGCACCAAATCGGCACTTGTCACATGAAGCTGGATGGCAGCACCACACCAGCGAGCCAAGCGATAAATCTCAGGCAGTTCAGAGCGCCCTGCCAGCAGCGCAACCCTCTTACCTTTGAAAAGGGTCCGCCGGGAGATATAACTCTTCCGGCCATTCCGGAGAACCTCCTCTTGCATCGTCCGACTCTCCATCTCAGAGATGGGTAGGGAGCGAAACTGTTGAATGGCACGTTGAAGCCACTGCTCGTGGGAGTCCATGGCTTCCTTCAATGCCTTGCAGCAGCTGGAGCTCCTGGAAAGCTCTTGGTCAAGCAGAAGCTCAGCCACCAGCTGCCATGCTTCAGCTGGCAATTGCCATGCCGGCCCTCTTCGTCTGAAAGAACGTGGAGCCAGTGACCAGGGTGTCGAGTCTGGAGTCGCTTGGAAGAGCTGAGACATCTCGACTGCCGGACTCGCCATCCCAGCTGAAGCCGAATCCGCCGAAGTCGCCGAAGCCGAGCACGACACGTCCATGACCGGCGCCCGCTGCGAGAGGTGCAGAGACGTCACGCCATGGCAGGGGCAGCTCGTGGGACGGCTCGTGGATCCACTTCATGTGATCAATGTTGGACGATAAGATATGATAAGAGATTAAGCATGATTAACTAAGAACAAGGCATTTCAAGTGGCTAGGGTAGAAGGAATGGGCTGTACATCAGCTGTTTCATGCCCGGCTGTCTGTCCTACGGGCCCGCTTGACCTCTGCAGCTAGCTTCGGTCCAAAACAAGATGCAAGCGTTGTGTCCTTCAACAGCTATAGATAGCCCAAGTGCTCACATACGTGTCATAGCCTCTTCCAAGAAAAAGGTTAACAAAATCGTTGCCGTGCGACCTACGACCATTTATTCAAATAGCCCAAACCGAAGGCATCTAAAACACTTCAAAATCCCGGTTCCATGGTCACGGTAAAAACTAAGGTTCTAATCCCCAAGCACCAAATGAGACCACATTTGGTTCGGGGTGCCAACGTCTGAGGGGATACATTTGTTAAAAGACCATCAGCTCCCAGCAACCCAACAGAATCTATATACCCAATCAAAAAACAAGTTAACTCAGATCAGCTCATATCTGTCCCTCTCTCTCTCCCTCCCTCCCTCCCTCCCTCCCTCCTTCCTCCACTGTCTGAGCCACACATCAGCACCCATTTCATTTCAGATCCTTTCAGTGTTCCACCAGGCTATCCCAACATAGAGGTGGATAGACAAACCCAAGTAGAAAAACACACCATTGGAAATTGTTTATAAGGAGGCCAACTTCTGGGAATGAATATTTAGAGACCTGAAGCTAAACGGCACCCTAACATTGGAAAATAGCCTGCGGAAAACATATCATTGGACATTAATCCTAAACATATTCACGCGTGTGCCATTGTTTCTGGGTGCAATTTGTGTTTTCTGGATTTTTCTGGTGGGTCTAGTTGACCGTTCAAGGCGATGCCTAAATATCCTGCATGCATAGAATAGCTCAAATCAGGGCCGGGCCAACCTCCAGCCTTGTTATTCTGGGTCCTACCTTAAGCTACCAAAATCACGGTGAGGTGGTAGCATGTTAAAATCCTGAGAGAGAGAGAGAGAGAGAGAGCTTGAGGTCCTACCCGGTCCTACCCCTACCATTCCATGATGAGCACCGATCCAGGATGCTGACCTCAATAGAATCGTGGGACGCACGCCTGGGGAAAAAAACAAAACGGTGCCACTGCTGTCCGCAAAATCCATTTTACCATATACCAGGACCATCCAATGGATGTCCAATGGACTACCCTACCCTACTTATAGGTCTCCATTGGGCACCCATTGGAAGTGCTAAGTATGTTCTCAATTCTCTGCATCTTTTCCCCATCCCCCCACGCCTCCAGCTGCCCAAGCCGCCCCGAAGTCTCCGCACCATGGAGCCAAAACGGCGAATCCACGCGCATCGATGGGCTCGACCAGTGACGAACATGTCGCCGCGGTGTTACAAAAAAGAACACCAGGCCACGGGTTCACTCTCATCTGCCCTGATCATCAGTTTGGATGGCTTTAAAATTATAGGGACTGAATCATCACGCGGGTGGGGTGGAAACGATGCAAGCCTATTTGAGCGGCCGCCTGTTTCGGCCGAAGCGCAAGCGTCTTGAACACTAGCTGCTAGCTGTACTAACTAGCAAAAAGGTGGTCTGGCAACTCCGCAGTGGAAATGCTAGCAACTCCGAGTGTGTTCGTGACCTTTCTGGTGAGCACCTTTGATTTTCTTTCGTGACACTGGGAGGTTTAGAAGCTTTTCCAAAAAGGCGAAACCGGATCCACTGCGTTGTAGAAAAGCTGCGTTGGGCTTGAGCGACCGGACCTGTTAGTTGTGATCTGAGGTCACCGCAGATCCTTCGGTGGGATTCCACTGCAGCTCTTCGACCGACCTTCGGACCACCAGGTGGCCAGGAGATGGCCATCTGCATCTTTGCTGGGCGTCCGGTTGAGACAGGCAGGTCTGAAGCTAGAGTCTAGTGGGTCATGACATGCTTGAGGGATATGAAGCACATAAGGTGACAATCCTAAGTTAAGGGCTTTACACGGAATGCATAAAGCAATTGAACGATGTATGGGCATACAGCGTGGCGTGAGGGAGTCCTCATCCTTGTACCGTGACATGCCTCTAGAGCTTGCTTCAGGCCACGCCGCACGGCGCACGGCCGTGCCGGGATGCCTATGTACAGTTGGGATGTGCGCGGCCAATGCGTTGGCACCCATGATCTGGTTCCGAGGATGGGATCGTCTTGTTGCCTTTCATCGCTCTGGCTGGAATTGCACATTTCATCACAATTCCCCAAGACCAGCTCAAACAAATTGTAGATCTACCATTTCACACCCAAACCTTTTGGCATTTTAAGCCTTCACCCATTCCTCCTCCTCTTCTTCCCTCACTCCTCTCTGTCCTCTCAGCACTCCCTCTCGAGGAGCCGCCACCTCGCTGCCCACGGCCGCCCCCAGCGCGCCCAGCCACTCGCCGCACTCGTCGTTCCGCCACCCCGTCGGCGGCACGCCCTGCACCGCGGTGATCTCCACGGCGCGGCGCGACGGCGGCGGTGCCAGGCCCCGGCGGAGCTGGGCGTTCAGCCGCTCCGGGGGCAGATCGCTGGGGTAGGCGTAGAAACCTCGAACTTTGGGGAGCAGAGGTCTTGACCTTTTCCCGAAGGTTCTGGACCGGACAATGGACGAGGTGTTGATTTGCGTTCGGTGCCATGCGCTTGCTAAAAGATATGAGAACTTGCGCCTGTTCATGTAAACAATAATTTGTCCTTGCCAAACCAGCACAGCCATAAAATTTCCTGCTGTACTCACATGATCGAAGGCTCATGCCCAACGGAACAGCCTCCACGCAAACACATGATGCAGCCCCCCTCCCCTCCTTCTTCGGAACCTTTGGCTCTGATTGAACCCAGCGGCGCAATTGAGGAGACATCCACAGCGGCACCTCGAGGGGCAGCTGCGTGGCCGTCTCCGCCTCCGCCAGCCACGTCGACGGCTCGGCCTCCTCCGGAGCCCGCTCCGACCGCGGCACCAAAGGGCCGCGCTCGGCGAGGCGGCGCTCGCAGAAGTGCCGCAGAGGGCGGCAAATGCGGGTCTCACGCAGCAGGGAGGCCGCCCACTCATCGCCTGAGATGGTCCAAGCCGCTGCAACACGAAAAGGAGGGCGAATGGCAGCACTGGGTGTGTTCCGCTGAGATGATCACTGAGAGGGTGTGAAAACGGCGATTGGTGTTTTCACAAAGCAAAGCCTGAGCTGCCCACCAGAAGTCTCAGGCTCGGAGCTTGGACCAGAATTGGCATTCAAGGAGTACACAGCCAATGATCCTGCCCTCGTGGCCACGTACCTCACTTACAAAACACTGTTATAAAACTATAAATATATAAAACTGAGGATGCCTATTTGGCTATTGTGCTAAATTCTGAGACCTTCAAAACAAGAACTTCAAAAAACATTAAAGCATTTTTGGAGAACAAGGCTCATCCAGGGGAAGCTGCTTGAGGACCTCGAGGGGGGGTTGAAGAAGGTGCACTGTGGCAGGAGACCTTCTTGAAGAAGCACCTTGCAGCTGCACGCAGCATGGACTAGCATTTGCAGCTGACTACTTTCCAGAAAATACAAGCATTCCGCATTCCATTGTCTTTTTCAAATGCTGGTTCACACCAAAGTCATCCCAATTCCGACAAGGCCTTATACATCTGAGATGTGCTTTCAGACGGATCCGACAGAGTCAAGCTCATTCAATTTGGCACCCTACGTCAGCTCTGACACGGCGTGGTGACAATCCAAACACCGCCGGCGGCCCCGGAGCGACGGTCAAAGTTGCAGCTCTGCTTGCCCCCTACAGACCCCCAACCTCACCGCCAAATTGCCAAAGCTGAACAAAGTTGAACAACAGAAATCACAAATCCACATGTGCAACTCCCCGAAACTCTTCCAGACAGTCTTCCAGACATCTCACATCCACTCTGACATCATCGGCACCAGCGGCTAGCGGCTACTCCCTACACCGAACCCATCTCCGTCCGAGGTACCGAGCCATTCCGCACGCGGGTGCACACGTTGAGGCCCACCGGACTGCGACTGCCGGCGCCGTGCCGCGCGACGGCGCCGGGCTCCAGCAGCCGGTCGTAGCGCTGAGCGTGGAAGGGTGGCAAGTGGAAGACCTGCCCAAAAATCGCGGCAGACGTGCTCAAGTACATAGGCGGTTTTGACCTGTAGAAGCCTGCTGCTTGTGGTTACGAAGCATGGAACTAAGCGTGATGCTACTCAGCTGTGAAGAACTAGCAAGTTTAAGGAAGGTGTCGGAACGTTGTGATTTTGGTGTTGTCAACCTATGACTGCAGGTGGTCTTCCAAGGAAACTACCCCCACGTTCTTCGCCTATGGACAAACATGGGTTCGTGACTGCATGCCATGAGGAGAAAGGTGTTGGACACCCAGAACAGCGGACGTGCCATGAAGTCCTCGAGGCCAAACTTGTTCAAAGTTTTTTGGCCTTGCACCATCTTGTACCAGTGTGCTTGCTCTCCACTGGGCCCTTCTGCCAGCTAACATCAACTAACTACTCTGTTTGGAGGATGCCCTCATTGTATGCTGAAACTCCATCTGTTCCAAGGCGCATGCGTGGTGCCCTTCGCCGAGGACACGGCGACAAGCTGCGCGTCGTCTGAAACGCAAAGGCCACTGATCACCGCAGGGGTTAAGCCACGAGAGAGCGTGAAGAGGTGCTCAAAGCGGAGAAAACCCAAAGTCCCTGCCAAACCTGCAGATTTTTTGGACATGAGGGAGCCTTTGTGGATGTTTTATGCTTTCTCAGCCGATCTGCTGGGTATTTGGAAGAACTGGAGGTGATGATTACAGTATGTGATGATGGCTTTGATTAGAGAACATGATGTCTACAAGCAAGTTGATAAAGAATTGAATTTGGACACAATGACTGTCGGCGTCTCTTCGAGACTGTCTTTGTTAAAGTCTTGGGTGCTGTGGTGGTTGAAGAAGAATTTTAGGGCCCCCTAGAGATTCCAACAATGTCATTCTGATCATTGTTGAACAGCTTAAACCGATCTCGAGGTAGTATTGGCTCATGTCATGACTGAAAAAAGTCAGGAGGAAAAACGAGTGCCTCATGAAAAGCTTCTTTTATCATCCGCATTGGTCCTTGCTGTTGAATATCATGGACGTTCCAAGGGTTCATGACTGGTGTGGCTGCTCGAAATGTCGCTGCTCGAGTCACCGGTGCTTGATGGGGATGAAACCAGTCACCGGTGACTGGCGATGTCCCACTTTCTCGTGTCTTCCCTGCAGAGACCGAACAAGGTGGACGTTCGCGACCGCCCCGCAGACCGATTCACCGGACCTCCTTGCTCCAGCAGGGTGTCCCCTGTGCCCAGCATGGCTCGGTGCACCAGGATCCGATGTCCTAAGGCTCCGCAGGTCACCAATTGGAGCCCCGAGGGGTCCCAAATCATCGCTTCGATGGGCTCGCTGTGGTCCTGGCGCCGAAAGAGAACGAAAAGCGCCCGGCCGCGGCCTAGCGGGGCGCACCAAAGCGCGCGCTCGTCGCAGGTTCAGGGCCGTTTGTGGGTGGAAAAGGTCATCCAGGACTTTGATTTCGATTGCTTAACGACAAGTTCATTCATTCGGTTTCACAGCCTCGAATTGCGAGATCACATTTTGCGATGCCACATCTCGCACCGCGATGCTTCCACTGCGCAAGCTTCCAGGGCTCGATGTGGACAAGGTATCCTGGCCAAGTTGAAGCTTTTGAATCAGCCGCAAAGTTCATTGATATGCAAAAATTGAAGAATCCTAGACTTTGAGGGTGATCAGTCCATACTAGGATTCTCCAGCCAGCGTCGTACATAAACATCAACACAGCCCAAAAGCTATTAATTGAAAAGACATCAAGACAAATAACATATATATATAGGGTTCTCTCATAATATACCTAGAGAATCTTGCAGCGTTTATTTCCGCCGTCATTACAAAACACACATCTTTTGCGGCAATTGGCATGAAGAAACACGTCGCTTTGCCAGAAACATTCTGCATTCTAGAAACATGCCGCGACTTGCTTTTAGCAAGCTTCACAAAAACACATCGCACACTGACACGGGCAAACACACTGCAAACGCGGGCAAACACGCCGCAAACAGTAACATTATATATATATATACATTTTGTTCGGGACTTGAGGTCCAGACCCCGAGTTGAGTCAAAATGCCGCAATTCTAGAAACACGATGTCGTGGCATTTCTTCAAAACCTTTTTTTTTTCTCTCTCCTGAGCGGCATCGAAATGTTCATGCCAGTGGAGTCTGTAGGTATATTTGTGCGTCCTTTTTATCCTTGCATGGCCAAGGCTCAGTACTCGGAGGCATGAAGACCTGATCCAGCGTCCTCTGCCCCACCTGATGTCTCGCCGCGCGCGATACTGTCGGCGCAGCTCAGCTAGCTAGGGCTAGGCTTCGGCTTCTGCCAGTTTGTAATCAGCACTGGACTGAGATATAAAAACACTGTAGAAACACTTGTATACCCCAAAAACACGTTTGAAAAACAAGCAGGCCAAACCAAAACAAAAGCATTAGAGGAACACCTGCAGCCTCTCAGGCTGGCGTGTGACAGTTTGCCCTGAGCCCCAAGGGAACACTGTCACAAGCGCCCCCTGGGGCTGGGCATTAGCATCTGGTCCTCAGTGGAGAGCCAACGACTGGAGACCGCACAGTCATCCCCCTCGGAGACCACAATGTAGAATCTTGATGAATCAAAACTCAAAACCCCCATGCGAAATGGTTTTACAATCCAAATGGGTGGTTCTTACTATACTATATAATTAATGAACAATCTACGTTAAGTCTGGATAAGTATGGCATCCAGGATTTCCGAGATCCGCAAGTCTCCACCTCCCTAGCTTGCCTGGCCCAAATACTGCAAGCCATCCTTCAACGCCGTCGGCAGTTGACGCCGCACACCCGGTGCATGGGCCACTGCACCACTGGATGATGACACCTCGATCAGCGTGAGTTTCTGGTGCCTGAGGGTTTGGACGCGAAGATCCCTACAAGGCGATCCTCCTGTATAGCCAGCATGTTGGGGGCTCATTCTGCATCCATGGTTGTGGAGACATCTCCCTGCCATGACCTCCCTCATTGCTTCACTCATTGCTTCACTCCAAGGAACAGTCTCATGGGGTGGTAGGTTGTATGCCAGCCACCGATGTCCAAGTGCAAAGGTTGGGCCCAAGGCACCGTGACACTGCACACCTGACCAGCGGAAGAAGCGACCAGCGGTGTGATAACTCAATCGTCCGGTCGTGGTGACCAGTGTGGCCCGGATTGGCCAAACCATGCCAACCCCAAACAAATCCATCTTCCATACCACCCATGCCAGAATGACCATCATTGAACCCACCTGTTGGTTCTCCTCAGCAACCCTCAGCAAAAAGAACAAACTTCCACTGTCCAAACCCTAAAACCCTATTCAGATCAGCAAGTGCCATCGATGGTTTTCTGGGCCAGAGAGTTGTGTCGTTGACTTGGACCAGGTGTCTCGTTCCACACATCCAGAAACTTGAAGGAGTTGCCTGGGTGGTCGAACTGGACACATTCCGTGGAACGTTCTCGCTGTGGACCCTCACCCCTTAACCAGTCCTAAGCTTGAAACCCAACAATACAGATTTCAGGTCAGTTGAGGGTGTACCAACTGTATCTATCTAGTCCTCTCCACCGTCTCCGTTTCCCACCTAAACCCTGAACCATCCTGAACCTATCAGCCTATCACATCCTATCACCGCCCGAAAAAAGAGACAAAGCAAGAGAAGGGCACATATCGCAATCCAATCCCAAGTTCTTCCATGTTCTTCCCACCCTTTTGTTGAAATTAAGCATCGCTCCGAGTGGCTAAAAAGCACCTGGAAGTGCAAAGCATCGAAAAGCTCCACCTGCTTGGCGAAGCCCACCGCGAGGAACCTCCGCGAGGCCTGAAGATGCTTCGCCGGCTCGGTGAGGCGTAGGAGGTGGACGTCCTCATGGGATTTCAAGGAGAAGAGTCGCACCAAAGCAGGAGCGCCCTTGTGCAAGTAGGCCATGAGTGGAGCCTCACAAAAGGACGGATTTCACGGGGATGAAAGGTGGATTGCTCTGGAAAAGAGGTGTGGTTCGGATCTGCGCAAAGCAGCCAGGCTGTAGCTTGGCAGCTATATGAGTGAAGATCGACTCATATCAAGGACACCCATCGAAGGATCTTCCCCAGAAGTTGGGGGAAAAGGATCATTCTGGGCGAAAAGTTCCATGATCTTCGACCAGCAACCGCAGTCACGCCCATGACGTCAGCAGAGGCATCGACTGGCAAGAGTGGGAATGGCAGCAGGCGCGCCTGATGGAATGTGCCCCTAGTAGCGTCCTTGCTCCTAGTAGCGATGCCCTTTGCTCCTAGTAGCTTCTTGTTCCTAGTAGAAAGCCTACGAACGGAACCAAGGGGCTACGAACGCTACGAACGGAGCAAGATTGGACGCTACGGAGCGAGATCGGACGCTCCTGGCCTTAGCTACGAACGGAACAAGAAGCTACGGATCTCTGTCTGCTTTTCTCTGCTTTTCTGCCAAAGAAGGTGGCCTCTGACCACTTAGTGTTGGGGGAGGCCAAAAGTTTTTTGGTTTGGAAGACCCCAAGTGTTGGGACATCCTTTGGTCCCGTGACCTATATATACGTATCAGGAGAATCTTACAAAGCCATGGAGCCTTGACAAATTTGCAGAAGAAAGCGACCACAAAATTCTCAAATGATCTGGCCTGAAGAACCGGCTTGTCTTGCTTGGACACCAACCTGGGAAAAAAACGAGCTTCGGCGTATCAAGATGTACCAAGAACGGGCACAACCAGCGACAAAAACCGCCTGCTCCGCACTGATCATGTCTGACCGACCCAACTCAATCAACATCCAATGCCTTCCAAGGTTTAAGCTCCAAAGTGCCCTTGGAAGCTCAAATCCATGAGAAATCATAGGGTTTTCAACGGCTTTCATGTTTCACCTCACCAAGCACGTCCCACTTGTGCCGGCGAAACCACTCAGGCTCGGACTCTTTGGCGGACGTTGGATCTTGCAAATCCCAAACCTGAAATCCATCGGTGTAGCCGATCACCAACAGCTGCCGATGCTCCTCCTGGCTGCGTGAAGGGTAGAGTTGGAGGATGGCCACCGATGGACAGCCTGGACTAGGTCTGTCATCCTCAAGCACATCTAGAACGCGGAGACTTCCAAAGCAGCTGACAAGGGGACAAGATTGAAGACCTGATCCTAGTTGAATACTGCTGAAAAGCGTGACCGTTGTATTGTTCGACCTATTAGGGTGGAGGCCATCGGATTGGGCAGGATCCTCAGTCCTCCGGCCACAAGACCCGCTCGATGGAGAGCCAGGTGATATGCCGCACGGCCTCTGAGATCTGTGGGTTGAGGCCCGCAGCATCCTCACGGGAGAAGCTGTGGATCCTGTGGATCCGGTGGCGGGTTTTCTTCCAAAGCCAACGTGGCAAGTGACGTTGAATGGCTTTCAATGCAAATCCTCAGCCGCTGTCATGTTGAAGTTTTGGGAATGCCAGCGCGAGATCGTTCAACTTTCAGAGGCTGCAAAAAAAGAGCAGGTGGTGCGGGCGTTGATCCGTTGACCCTCCAAAAAGCGTTCTTCCGTGGAAGAACCAAAGGCGCCTTCTTCAAACAACACGCGTTTCTCGTTGGCGTTTGGTTGGCCATAGATCTCTCGTTTTATGTCATTTCATACTTACGCAGTCCATTTCTGTGTGAAACATGCTGTCAACCACAAAGGCCGCGAAGAGCAGCTCCCGACGCTTTCACATCTCAGCTCCCAGAAATTGGGCAGATTCCATCGCTACTAGGAGCAAGGAAGCTACTAGGGGCTCCTGGCCTTACTACTAGTAACAGGAAGCTGTTGGAAACAATAAATAGAATTATTAGAATTGAATTATATTAGACTTGAAGCGAATCCACCGCTCTGTTGGCACCGCTCTGTTCGCACCTTGACTGACGTGGGGATGTACCCCGAGATGGACGAGAACAGGGAGCTGGCCACACTCATGGTGCAGCATGGCAGAGACGCAGCTGACCCTCCAAAAGGCTTGTTATAGTAGCTTCTTGTTCCTAGTGGTAAGGCCAGGAGCCCCTAGTAGCGTCCGATTGCTCTGTTCGTAGCGATGCCAGTGAGCCCCTAATAGTGTCCGTGTTACTAGATATCAAGGACGCAGCTGATCTTTCTTGCGTTCCGTCTTGTAACCACATGTCCACACTAGCCACTCTTTGTTTTCATCCTTGGTGCATCTCATGAGACGTCAAGCTGCTTGGTCTTTCCATGTGCATTGCTGGGGGGTGCTGGGCTTGATCGTTATGGATGGCTTCTCAGCTTCTCATGATCTTCTTCATACTTCCGCCCTGGAGCACTGAACAAAGTGCCACTGACTCGTGCTGTTTAAAAGCACATGGACCAACATATATGTCATAGGACTGCTTGCAGGTATGACTCACTATGACCACCTTAAACATGTTTTCCACCGTGGATCACTTTAAATGAACGTGGGATCCTTCTATAGTGTCCTTCTTGAGCCAAAGCCGGCGAGGGAGGGCTGAGGACATCCCCACATGGTGCCTGCCATTGACTATCATTGACTGCTCGCAACATGTCCGGGAGGCCACTATCCTGGGCCCGGGAGGCCTTTGGACCCAGCTTTGGACCCATGCCTTGGCACGCCCCCAAGCGCCATACACGAGAGCCATGGGACCGCCGAGCGATGGAGTCCTTGTGCAGCTGTGCCTTCTTTCCCTTGGCATTCTTCTCCTCTAGCCATGCGATTCTTACGCTTAGCCTTTGAAATGCCATGAACCTTCGGCATGCTTGGCACGCGCACTCAGAATCAGTGGTAGACAATTGCTCCTCTTGAAATTCTTGAAGCACTTCAAAAGGGCTCGATGACCTGCCGCCGGGCCAGGAGGAGTCGATCAACGTCATGTTTGAACAGTTGAACTCCTATGCCACCCAAAAATGTTCAAACAGTTGAACCTGACTTAAAGGACACTGCAAACACCCCTTTTCCACTGCTAATGGAGCAAATAGATATAAATTAAATCATATGTTATGCCCACCAACCGACCGCCTTGTGGAAAGAGAGTATGGGCATCCTCATCTTCGCCTCCAGATCCACCAAAGCTGCCAGAATTGGGCGTCTTCATGTCATACTCCATCACCAAAGCCAAGCTGAAATGGTCCAGCTGTGTCCAAGTGGCCACGAGGAAATGCGCTTAACAGCCAACCCGATGTGTTCGTAGTGAGAGTGATCATCCCTGGAACGCCTCCACCATGGCCAACATCGTCCGTCACCCGTGTCCGGCATGAAGCTGAGTTAACTAGGCCCAACCGAACTCATGAGGAAGATCTTCTTTGCTTGCTCCTTTACCTCTTGAATTTCCGACTTTGAGACGAAGCTGTTGGTGGTTCGAACCCTCATCCTGGAGACACACGGAGACACAAAGTGTGCTCGTAAAATCGTTTCTATCTACTGCACTTGGGGTCTCACATTTTAATCCATCCATGCACTGGTCCATGCACCTAATTTGCCGTGTTTGAGGTCTACGGACTCTGTTATTCTGAATATTCTTACGCTTATAGGATTTGCATCTGCACTCTGGGACAGAACTGTGTTCCCTTCGGAGGCCAGTACTCAGGGCTCAGGGCTCGGGGGGGACTCCATTTCATGGGTTTTCCGACGTGTTAAAAACAGAAAGTCTGGCTGAAGCAAATCCAAATCTTCAATTCCGATCGCTTCTGAAGCTCCATCCACTGGCCGGGCAGGCTGCGATCACTCTCGCCGGCGATCACTGTTGGGCTTTGACCCGGACCGGCCGCCGCAGTGTGAACGCTGACGGACATCCAATCCTCATCGGAAGCCTGGCGATGAGACTGGGGGCGAGTGAATGAATTTGAGTTGCTACAGTAATAGCCCATGCATGCCCATGCCCCATGTCCATTTTCAAGCCTCGTAGCATTGCTAATCTCAAACACAGAATCCAACCAACACAGCCGGAGGAGGGAACAGTTGGCGGTACACGGGTCGTCTCGGCGTCTCTCGGCTCTTGCCTCGCTCACTTCGGTCACAGGCAGGATCATGGTCTCATACTTGCCGGGGTCCTGCGAAGGAATCCATGAAAACATGTGAAAACCACGGAATTCCCATAAATGGTGTTTGTTCATGTTTGTGGACCTACCGAGGGGAGGGGAAACACGACCTTGGCCGCAGGGGATTGCGGTTGGTGTTGAAGGGATGCCAATCCGAGCAGCGGGTTGAAGATGGTTCGAGCATCTTCAGCTCTGTGGCAAACTGGATTCTCCAATCTGTGGATTCAACCAACACGCCTCCTCCATGTCTGGCTAGACTGGCCAGTAAAGGATATCACAACCTGCTAGTACGTGTGCACTTCACCCCTTATTGCACACCCAGTAAGTACCTACAGTGGCCTATAGTTCCTGTTGGAGCATCTTTGATCTGTGGGCGGCAGGGTGCAGTCACCTGCTTGCAGACCCGCCAGAGGAACTCGGCCGCGACGGTTCGCAACACGTTGTCAGCGACCAGCACACCACCCAAGCTCCTGAGCTTCAGTGAAGCCAACCAAGCAACGCACCGGAGTCACAGCACTTGCAAGCCAGGGCCAGAAACACTGGCAGGGGTATAGCAAGTGCAGCGTAGAATGAAAAAGGTCTACCAAAGCTAATTCTAATTGCACTTAATTCCAATTCTATTTACTTATTGTTTCTACTAGCTTCTTGTTCCTAGTAGTAAGGCCCTTTGCTCCTAGTAGCGATGCCCTTTGCTCCTAGTAGCTTCTTTGCTCCTACCCCCCCTGAATGAGCACAGGAAAATATCTCATGACTCTACCAGCCACATAGCACTCAGCCGAGGGGACGCGGCAAGAACTCAGCCGAGGATCAAAAGGCCCAGTTCTTCAATCAGCATCAGGTCTTCGGGGTACTGCGCACCCCAGCGGTCCATAAAAATCAACTTGTAGCCGTTGGCACCGCCTCGGAGCGATGTGAATGGGTGAAGCGATGTGAAGGGGAAGAGCGAGAAACTTACAAAGATGTTTCCTTCTATTCGATCTTTTCTCGTCTTTTCTTTATGTTTATAATAGCGATGGCCTGTAAAAAAGGATGTCCAAGAAGCCAAATCCCGCGAAGAAGGACATCCGCACTTAGAGAATACAGTATGTTCCTCATCGCCCAAGCAACTTGGCATGCTTCGGCCCATCCCCTGCATCCTTTGCGGCCATATTATACCGCTGGCATGCTCTTGAAGATTCAGAAGATTGACTTCTGTAGGTATAAATTACCGTATCTATATTCACAACGTGTCAGCAAACGGAAACTAAGGGTGGTTCCATCTTCAAAACATGTCAAAACCATACTAACCCCTACCTGGACAAGATTGTTACAAACTCAGCTCAACTGCAAGCTACAAGGCCACACTGGCCGGTGACACAAGCAAGTCACCCACTCCCACTGGTCCAGTTGCTGATCCGGCGAAGGCGAGGGAGTAGCAGCTTGCTGTGGCCGGTGAAAACACTCACCCTCGATGAAAGACCAACATGCGCAAGCACACCTGAGCCCCATCGAGTCGGAGTGTTCGAGTCGCATCTGCCAGGCCAGTCGCACCTGTCAGAACACCCAGATCCAGCGCGGATCAAGAGGTATGACGGTATGACCATACAACATCACCTCGAAGGGATGCACATCAACCCTAGAAGCAGCATCCAGCTTCTCTCCAATGAGAATGACTAACGCCACATTTCTTGACGAAACATGCCTCGAGGCGTGCTGTTAGCAGCCGATAGTGAAGTCTAAAGAATGACTTTCGAGTACTCTCTTGAATCTCTTCCCACCCCTCTTCCCCTCTTCCCATCCGTTTCCATCCGTCCAAGGCACATCGAGCAATGCCCACAAGAAACGGATCCATTTCCACGGTGACGACCTGTTACATGTTTAGGGCGGGCCCTTTTGTTAATGAGACAAGGCAATTCATAATAATTGTGGATCCTTCCAATGGATCAATGGCTTTGTCATGCTTTATCGCATCATATCATTTGGTTGTCTAAAACGGAGCCACGCTCAAACTGAACAATGGGATGGGGCATGGTATGTATGCTCATCATTCCAAATCATTCAAGCTGAGAGTCACCAGAAGATAAGAATCAACACATTTCCAATATGGTGCGCCTGCGCTCCCAGGGCAGCTAGGGAGATCGCCGAGTATCCACAATAAGTTCCAATCCTGGAGAACATTCAGGTGGCCACCGTAGCAGGAACCAGCGGCCCCATGCAAAGGCACCAGCGACGCACGACGCACTCTAGCTCTAGGACGCTTAGAGGTGCTTGATTCATCTTCAACACTATTGGTCACTAACCAGACTCGAGGTTTCATTGAATAAATCCGAGTGAGCTCACAACTCACCTTCCCTGAAGAAGGTGAGCATATGGCGTTGGTCCCGTCCCAACTCCGTCCACCACCCACCACTGCATCCACTGCGTTGTCCCTGCATCCACGGCTCTCCAGCACCAGAGGCTCGCGGCCACAAATCCCTGCGGCGGCGGCACACAACGTTGAACTCTTGGCACCTCCGGCGAACTTGGCCTCAGTGCAAGGAATGCGACGAACAGAACAAAGGGCCTCGCGGGCATCGCTACGAACGGAGCGCTCGGACGAAACGAACAGGGCGCTCCTGGCCTTACAACTAGAAGCAAGAAGCTACGAACGGAGCAAAGGGCCCACAAAAGGGTCACCGTGACAGAGCCGTTGAGTAAGCCCCATGTTCTGCTTGATGTTGGGGGGCATCGGGTGTGCAGTCCCATTCGTGTCAAAGGGTCGCCCACTAGGTCGCTCCAATTGACTAACTCATGGCTGTGTGGGGTGCCCAGTCAGTAGACCATGGCATCATGGCATTGAGGCATATTATATGGCTTCTAGGTTGGAGGCCATAGCTGATTTGGAGGTTCTTCCTTCATTGCGTTCGCGTCGACTTGCACCGTGCCCTTCAACATCTGGGACCTCTGAGGTGACCTCTGAGACCAAGCTCGTTGCACCAAGAGGCCCAAACGCCAGCTTCGCCCAGGCTCCGGCCCAAAGAGTCCATCGCCTGATGGGCTCGAACGGTTCCGTGTTGAGTTCTTCACCTAAAGGCGCGGTCTGCTGGAGGGACACCACGTAATTCGTAACAAGAAGCTACTGGGTTGGAGGCCATCGCTGGTAGGTGGGAGGCCATCGCTACTACACACTGCGCACACCACGACCTCCAAAGCGCTAGCAGGCGAGGGATCCGCCACCAGCACAGAGCGGAGTAGAAGTAACTCCTTAGCATCCAAGCACCCCGAACTCCTGGTGGGCCCAGTGTTGGTACCTGAAGTTCCAGGTCCCATGAGTCCCGGAAACAGGGGTGGCTCCAGCCTGCCCAATGTCCAACTCGGTCGATTTACTTCTTTCTCTAGTCTGACTGGTAGTATTTATTAGCAGCGTTAAAGTTTGCATTCCAAACGGGTTGGAGTAGTTGGTGTCCTCTGAAAGAAATGTTTGCTTGGCAGGTGGTCAACAAACACCCACTACACCCACCACCAAAGCAATGCTGAAAGGAGAAAACAGGACAGTGGCCTTTCTTCGCAACATCAAAAGTGGAGGTGAAGGTGGTTTAACTTTCATGCTATATGAGCTGTAAGTCCATCATAGGCCCTGAGGACCCCCACTTTGCTGTAGAGCTTGGTCCTCGCAGTCGCTTCCGAGTCGGACCCAACATCTGAGTGGTGTGTTGGACAAAAATGGACATATATGTGATTCTCGGATTGTTGGACCGTTGGACACCTGTCGTGTCAAATCTTTGGGGAAACTGGAGGAGATCCAATTTCTTCCGGACATGTCTGCGGAATCGAATCGCATCCGGAAACCCTCTGCACTTTTGAAGCCTCAGATGACTAAGACGTCCCTTCATGTCCTTCTCCCTGTGGTTTGTCATGGTGACGGTGTTGAACCACATGTTTTGGACTCCGCAAGGGCCGTCCGTCACGTCCGACCCCTGCCTCGTGAAGTCTTCGGTTCTCAAGAGTGTCGGCAGCAGCTGCTCCCGCAGCTCAGTTGGACCTGGAGCACCGACGTCAGTTTTGGACGGTGGGAATGCCATGGAGTGATGAGTCTTCTCATCAACGTCGGGTTTCTTGAGTTTGGTGGTCAAACAGCTTTCAAAGCTTGGCTTGGTGCATGTTGTTAGCGGTTGCTAGTGCAACGTCACTCCGGAGATAGACCCTGGCGGCTAAACTTGACGGCTTCAATGTGAAGTAATTTGTTATATTTTCAAGATGCCCCGGTTCTCATGCCACCAAGCCTCACTAAGCTTGTTTGCTGCAAACATGTCCATGCATTTCCAGCTTCCGGAAAACCCGAACAGCATCGCCCTAGTCCAAGTGAAACTTGAAAGCCCCATGCTTCTCCAGGTTTGGTATGGTTTGGTCGTGTTAGTCTACTGGTTGTTTCCATCTCTTGTCAGTTCTCGACCCACACGGCCTCGACCAACACGGCTTCCAAGCAGGTTCGGCTCCGCCTGCACGACCCTCGCGAGGGCCGTCCCGTCCACCATTGCGCTGGCGGCTCCTGGGAGCAAGGAGGTCGTGGCGCGATGTCGGTCCTGAAGATGCATGTTATATAGAAGCTTTATAAGAAGAAAAGCAGGAAGAAAAAAAGAAAAAACACGTGTTCATGAATCTAATTATATCTACCCTGATCTTCAATGGCTATAGAAAACTTCGACATTACTCCTGCCTAAGTTTAACCTAAGAAAACTTCGTCGTTTCACTATGACCAAGTTTTACTAACCTCGTTTTGAACCAGGTGGCTCGATTTGGAGTTAGAGGGGCATTTCAAGGAAACCCATGATCAGATTCAGTTCATCACAAATTCTTTGGGCCATAGCCTAGCTAGAATATCCTGGAATCACAAGTTCAGATTGAACTTTACATAGATATCTTGGCGCCTTCGACTGCCACTTGCCCTTATGCATGCAGAAAGCTCTTCGAAAAAGCCGGGACCTTGGAACCCAAGATCTCGAGCCATCGTTCCTATTTCCGAAGCCCAGGGAAGTGGGAAATTCGCGAAGAACCAGAAGGTGCCACCCCCACACCATTCTCTGGATGTCAGCAATTTTTGAGATATTTGAGCGATAGCTTCAACCATTGGTGTTTCACACTTCGATCTTTCTTCTTTGGAACCGGTGCCCTTTTCTCAGAAGATCAGGAGGGCCGTCCCAGCTGTGCTCGCTTTTTTCCGGGCCGAGCGTTGAGATCCATGCCGTCGGTCAAGCCTGACCAGGTCAGGCTTGGGCTGTTGAAGGACCCCTTCCATGTCAACTAGACTGAGGTCTGAGGTTATCTTTGGGAGGTTTTTGTCCGCCAGGATTTCTATGAAGAAATGTTGTCCAACGACTTCCGGACAACCAGGTTTTGGGAGCTGTCCAAGAAGGAGGGCATTTCCTACGCCAAGTTTGAAAAGTATATCCAGGAAAAGAAGGTGCCATCATACTTTTGTGAACAAAATACACCATACAGTTTCTGGCCAGGTTCCATGCACGTTTTGCTTCGTGGACATCCATCCAAAGAAGGGCCTCAATGAAGACATGGTGAGCCTGACGTGTTTTGCCCCAGGAATCTGGAATTTGGGATCAATCTTGTGTGTTTTGGAAGGTTCAAAGCAAGCAGAACATGAACTTCCTGGTTGCGTGGCTGCCAACTTTCGCCCTCAACCCTCCTACCGCAAAAGAAACCCAGGCGAATATAACTTTCCAACTTAGTCAGGAGTAATGTCGATGCTTTTTACTGGCCATTGAAGATTTCACACGGTGCACTTTGTTCAGGAGGTGTTGACCCAGATTGCTGTGGACCACCATCTAGTGCCTGATCGGTCGATCACACAGGCTGTTGAGGCAGGATCACTCTAGTGCTGGTTCATGCATGTATCATGCATGTTGTTTGATCCTAAACCGGCCCAAACCAGGAATGGGCGAGCAAGGAAGGCAATCTCCATAGGCTGCTCGCAGCTAAAGTTCTCAATTGCTACCGGAGAGCTCCAAATGGAAGGCCTGTGTTTGGATTTCTGCATCGATGGTAGTTTTGGACCTTTTTGGTGCAGGCGCAAGGATGGGCCGATGCATCAGCTCAAGACCTTAATTTCTGCAATCTTCCAGGTTCGGGATTTAACCCGTGAACAAACAGTCATAGCTGGTCGATATGTTTCAGGACGCTGGTGTTGCAAAAAGAACCAGATCTATCAGAAAACCTTTGTCCCAGAAGGCACATTCCCTCTTCTTCCAACACACTTTCGGATCTTTATTCCTGTCAGGATTTAGAGAAAGAAAAGAAGCAAAAGGAAAGTGTGGAGGGACAGGAGAGTAAGGGAGAGGAAAGTAAGAAGGGAGAGGAAAGTAAGAAGGGAGAGAAAGAAGCACAAGACACGGACGAGGATGCCGAGGTCATCGAGATCGAGGAAGGGGAAGAAGAAGAACTGATTGAACAAGATTATGAGATTGAGGTGGGCTATGAAGAGAAGTCACACGAAGCAAATGCCAAGAACGAGATTCCAAAAGAAGAAGCACAGGATGCACCACTGGATGACCAGGAGGTCCATGTACTTACCGAAGAAGAAGAGGAGGAGCTGAAGAAGGCCAACAAGGAATACAACCAGAAGATTGAGGAGGAAGCTTTGAGAATGGAAGAGGAGAAGGATGATGCAAAAGCGAAGGAAAAAACTGATAAGGAAAAGGAAGAAGTGAAGGCTGACACAGGAGTGCAGGAGGAGGTGAAGGTTGACACAGAAGTGAAGGAGGTGAAGGCCGACACAGAAGTGAAGGAGGAGGAGAAGGCCGAAACAGAAAAGAAGGAGGAGGTGAAGGCTGAGGCAGAACTGCAGGGCAAGAGGGGGGAGGAAGAAAAAAAGGGAGAGGAAGAATCAGGAAAGGTGGAAGGTGAAAGTGCCAATGATCAAACCAGAAAAAGGACAAATGAGGCTGCAGGGGCTGAGGACTACACACGGGAAAAGAAAAGCAAAACTGACACTTTCATTGCCAATGAGAGCTTGGCGGAAAGATATATCCATGCCAGGTATGAGATGCTTCAAGCTCGAGACGCTGGCGACTGGGCGAAAATGATTGATCGCAAAGAGCAGTCTGACCAGATCATGAAGACCATGATTGCCAACGCAGAAAAAAAAGTGCAGCAGGAGCAGCAAAGCAATACGCAAATGTTGACAAACTATGAGAAGGGTTTGAAGGAGGACTTGAAGGATGAGGAGGAAGCGTGCAAGATTTTATTCAAAGAAATGGAACTCGAGAAGGAAGCAGCAGAGGCAAAGAAGAAGAAAGCAGAAGAACAGAAGCTAGAAGGAATACGTGATGAGGAAGACCAAGAGGACGGAGCACTCAGCGATGGAGGTACTGCCCCAAAGAATGCTTTCATGGATACCAGGCCTGTTTTGCCCAAAGTTCCAGAACTACTTCCGGTGCCCCAAGATTGGAAAGATGGAGATGGTAACAGCCGGGCAGATGAAGCGCGAAGAATCCTTGAGGCTGGGGTGTGCTGACTAGACTCTATAGTTCGATGAATATAATCAAGTGATTGGATCTATAGTTGACAATTTATGCATTATTTCATAGTCAGACTCAAATGGCACTGAGAATGACAGGAGCAGAAAGCGAAAAGGGATGCAGTAAGGGCAGAGAAAAAGAGACAGCAAGAGGAAAAAGCGGCAAGCAAAGGAAGAGGGCGCGGCAGAGGCAGAGGCAGAGGGAAGACAGCACCAAAGGCAAATGAAGACCAATTGCAAGGAATGGATGAGGATATGGAGGCAGAAGACCTACGCATGAAGAGAGAGAGGGAACAAGAGGAGGATCCACCCTCCAAGAGGAGGCGAGCCGCGAAAGCGAAAGCTGCTCCAAAGAAGAATGCGGAGAAGCCAAAAGAAGAAGATATGGAGAAGCCAAAAGAAGAAGCCAAGGAGAAGCCAAAAGAAGAAGATAAGGAGGAGCCAAAAGAAGAAGCCAAGGAGAAGCCAAAAGAAGAAGATATGGAGAAGCCAAAAGAAGAAGCCAAGGAGAAGCCAAAAGAAGAAGATAAGGAGAAGTCAAAAGAAGAAGATAAGGAGAAGTCAAAAGAAAGTGAAGCCGTTGACAAGAAGGACCCGAAAGTTAGTTGGCACCAACCATCAAATCGGATTGGCCCTGTCTCCCAGGAGGAAGCCAAGATGAAGCGCCAAAAGTACCGTGAGGCACTTGCGCGCCGACCCACCCCCTGCCTTGTGCACATTGTCTCTGCAGGAAAAGAAGCAAAAGAGCCTGCAGGACATGATCTTGCTGGCAACAAAGTCGGGTGAGAACCAGTTCCGCATTGTTCCAGACGCGGACAAACTGCACACTGTCATGCAACATCCCCAGCTGTTGCAATTTGGTGTTCTTTCAAACCAATGTACATTGGGTCCTTCTATTTCCTTTCAGGTCATGGACCATTGATCCCCCACCTGATCCACGACCAGAAGCCAGTGGTGAATCACGGTCACCAATCCAAGTACTGCCAAGAACTTAGATTTGATATATGATTCTCAACGACGATTCTCACCATATGATCCTTTGGTAGGCTGACGGGGTCCTTCTATGTGAGCCACATGGATGAAGAAACTCTTCTACGGGTCAACAAGGACTTCAGCAAAGAGTTCAAGGCCTGACTAATCCGCCTACGATCAGGTCTGTTTTTTTACGGTGGCTTGCCAATGTGATATGGGAGGCCAACTCCAATGGAGGAGTGACAGTTGGATGGGGGCCCAATGGTGGTCCAGAAAAAGCGTTCAGAGCTCAATCACACATGAACCTTGGGGCCCATGTAAGCAGTTTCCTCTAAGGTGGGATTATGCTCGCCGTCTCGCGAAATGGTGCTGGTAGAACGGCCGGCTGCTTTTGAACTAGCCCCATCCGATGTGATGTGGCATTTGTGGGCTGTTTAGTGGATCGATACTACCTAGATCATTGAGGATCAAGATCACAAACAAAACTCGAACTCTTTTTTGTCAGATAGCCCACGGGTCTTTGATCCTAAATGGATCGATCAACAATGATCAACACGCAGGGGATGCGTGTCATTGAGGTAGCTCAGAACACTGCGGAGGAAACTACTGGTGGAAGTCTATTTTACTGTCTATTTTTCATGTGAAACGTAATTCAGCCTTGGTGTGACATTGTGCATCAGTCTACTTTCAACCCTGTTGACAGTGTGAACTTTGCTCAAGCCCAAGCACCTGTTTCAAGGATGGCTCCTAGGTGGAGGATGTCGCCTTTAGCTCTCACGGCGTGTAGCGCCTTGATGCTCTTAGAGCTGGGGGCGCCACAAGCCTTGTGGTGCACTTGGACCACTCTTGGACCATATAATAAGGCTAGCTGTAGTGGTCCATACTTGGACCGAGGCTCGACATTTGTGACTTCGTCGCTGCGACCAGCTACAAGAACCATGGTCGCGTCATTTACTTAAATACTTTTTTCCGCGGGCTGGTTTCTATCACAAAAAAAACTGGATTGATGCCATTGCCCAAGGATGTTGACTGCTTCGACTGCTTTGCTG